TCCTATTTAACATCTTTATTGATGGTTTGGACATAGGGATGGAGTGCACCCTCAGTAAATTTGCAGAGGACACTAAGTTGGGTGGGAATGTTGATCTGCTCGAGGGTAGGAAGGCTCTACAGAGAGATCTGGACAGGCTCTATCAGTGGGCTAAGGACAACTGCATGAGGTTCAACAATACAAAGTACTGGGTCTGCATTTGTGCCACAGCAACCCTATGCAGTACTGGGGGAAGAGTGGCTCAAGAGCTTTTTGGCAGAAAGGGACTTGGGTGTGCTGGTTGACAATTGGCTCAATATGAGCCAGCAGTGTGCCCAGGTGACCAAGAAGGCCAATGGCATCCTGGCTTGTATCAAGAATAGTGTGGCCAGCAGGACTAGGAAAGTGATCATTCCCCTGTATTCAGCACTGGTGAGGCTACATCTCAAGTACCATGACCAGTATTAGGCCTCTCACTTTGAAAAGGGCATTGAGGTGCTGGAGCGTGTCCAGTGAAGGGCAACAAGGCTCATGAAAGGTCTATAAAACGTGTCTTATGAGGAACGGTTGAGGGAGCTGGGTTTGTTTAGTCTCAAGAAGAGGAGGCTCAGAGTGAACCTCGTCGCTCTATACAACCACCTGAAAGGAGGTTGCAGTAAGGTGCAAACTGGTCTTTTCTACTGTGCCTGCAGTGAGAGGACTAGAGAAAATGCCCTTAAGGGGAAATTCAGATCAGATATTAGAAAAAAATTTTTCACTGTTAGAGTAGTCAGGCATTGAAATAGAGTTGTCCAGGGAGGTGCTGGAATCACCATCACTGGAGATATTCAAGGGGTATCTGGATCTGGCACTGGGTGATGTCTTTTAGTGGTTTAGGGGTTACAGTGACAGTACTGGGTGGATGTCAGACTGGATGATCTTAAAGGTCTCTACCAATCTTGATGATTCTAGGATTCTGTTCTAGGGTTCTATGATTATGAGTAGTCTAGTATCTCATGTGTGCTATATTGTTTACTTGGATGTAGAGAGACTTTATGGGATATGGTGGAAAAAAACTCAACCCAAACCACTTTATGAACTGAAATAAGCAATATCCTTGACTCAATAGCTATTTCACAATAAAGTTTTGCTGGGAGCAAACCAAGTCTGGTACAGCTGAGATCACATTCCATGATGTTAGTATTGAAACTAACTTCAAACTGACAGGACAGAATGCATTCATCTACATCTTTTAAAAGGGGACACTCGTCAAAGACTACTGATTCACTTCATTTAGAGCAGGAAAGCTCTGCATAAATGCAATTTCTAAGTTTATTGATAAGAAGGAAAAACTGCAACCAATTTCCAATTAATTTGTTGCTTCTCTCTAAAAATGATGGAAAAGCTGTTTTACATGGGCCTTAAATATTGATCTGATGCTGACAAGGATAGGCAGAAGATTATTTTTCTCTGATTTTTGATATTACACCATTTTGTGCAATTTGTCCAGTCTCAGCTGGACAAAATGTTTGGAAAAGAAAAAAGAGGGTCAAGAAAATCTGCTGTACTTCCTTTCACAGTTAATGCAGGCAAAGTCATGTCTGCTTTTGAAAGAATCACACTACGAGGGGATTTCTGACTCCTAGTTTCAAAGCTGTTGCTGTCTTGACAAACCTGAGGTTAATAACCTCAAATCATGCATATTACATGATTGGTTCCTAAAAAAAAAAGTCTAGCTAGCTTACTGTTTAAAAATAGTAATTTATTATTGTCTTTAACAATACTAAAAGCAGCAGAAAAAGAAGTAAGGGCAAATAAAAGTAACTCTAAAAGTGAAAAGACTCAAAAGAAATTTGGGGAAAATTTTTTTTTTATGTGTGTGTGAAATAAATTTCCCATCAGCCAGGCAGGATTGACTGAGTAGCAGCAGGTTCTTATGGCCAATAAAGAGCAGATCGGAACCTGTAAGCAGTACTTACCCATACATACTTTCTGTAAAAGCTTTTGCAGGTAAAACTTATATCTATTCTTCTTTTTACATAGGAAAAGTGCTTCTCAAACCAACAGGAAGCATAGGGTATTATGACACAAGAAGCCCTGCTAGCACATTGAAGGTTTGAAGCACTTGAAGCCACCAGAACACAGGCTGGCAATTCCCAGTGCTCAGGTAATATGTGATTTAGTTCGCTAGAATAAGTAATATATATGACTTGCAATTTTTCACTGGTGTTTCACATCTTTTTTTTAAAAAGACAGTTTTAGTAATGCTTGCTAATTGAGATTATCTTCAAAATACTGACCTGGAGTTGAAATATATAGGAGATCAATAGCAGCAGCGAGTGCCTTTTAAAACCAAATCTTCTCCTTCACCGAAATACCCATCACTAACCCTAAGTGGCAGTGCAGATCTTCACGGAGACAGAGCAGAACAGGAGATGGGGGGGATGTCCTCACAGCCTGTGTCCTGGTATCTTACACATACCGGGAGTTATAGGATCACCTGTGTCTGCGTAATAAATGTGTGTTATTAAAAACTTTATAGCCAATTTAGATGGTGTCTGCTAACTGAGTTTAATAATAATAATAATGGCCCATCTTCGCGAACGAAGATTTGGGGAAGGTCTTTTACCTTTCCAGCCTGCGCAATGGATTTTTTTTAGGTGAGACACAGCCTGCGCTGAACTGAGCCCACCCTTTAATCCTAAGGTTCATCTGCCGGGGCCAAGCAAGCTTGGACAATGGCAGTGAGGTCCTCAGGACGTAGGTTTGTTTAGAGTATCCTTCTCATAGATGGATGGCCTCACAGGGCTAACGGGTTCCATCTGCCCGGGAGGGACTGGGAATCGAACCCGTGGTTGCAGCAGTGAAAGTCCTGCACGCTAACCACTAGGCCACCAGGGGTCCCTTAACTGAGTTTAACAACAAGATAATAGGTTCTCAGTTTAATTTCCTGTGTAATGCTGCATCACAGGCTCCCACTGACTTCAGAGATCACTTGGTGTCTGAACAAAAAAACTTTGACAAAACAAACAAACAAAACAAAAGCCCTCTTTTAAAAGAATACAGCTGTCAACATCTAGGTGAGTTGAGAAAGATACACTTTCAACTAGGGCAAGCATCAGCCTAGTAGTACTCATCACATACATCCAAATTCAGTGTGTTGTAGACAAGCTCAAAGTGACTACACTTCAAAGGTGGATTTCACCAAATTGGGATAAGGAAAATTGTCTTTCTTTTCAGTTTTCATTCTAGGACTCTCTCTAATGAGGATTTGCAGAGGAATGTTCTCCCCTTGCTGTGGCAACTGAAGAGTGACTCGCTCCTTCTCAGCCAGAGCTTTTCTTGCCCATTAGAATATTTTTCCAGAAAGGTGTCTTCCAGAGTTGAATAACAGTACCTGAATAACAGTACCTGCTTCCAATTAAAGCTAATTTATTGGAACTTCAGAGCCTTCCTGAACCTAGAATTTGGTGAATGGATGTTGGACTAGATGATCTCCAGAGGTCCTTTCCAACCCTAGCAATTCTGTGACTCTGTGAATCCTGTAGATCTACTGACAAGCTTTTTGCCTTTATAATTAGATGCTCTGCAGTTTGAAAGTTTTTCATAAATGGCAAATAATCATGAGCTTTCAAGGGTTAACATAACCTGCTCCTGCAGGTAGAAGCAGTGTCACTGGAATTCACATTCTTCTGAAACTTTCAATGTGATTTTTAATCTCTTTGTGTAAATTAAGGTATCAGCTGCTCATTAATCCGCAACTCAGCAGATTGTTCCTTAGAACCTTTGGTGTAGTTGCTTCATGCCTGCCAAATGTACAGTTTTCAGCGTTAAAAATAAGTTTAAAAAAGGAATATTAAATTCACCTGCATGCTGGTTTCTGACCTAATAAAACTGCTACTCTTGAGTGAAAAATCTTGCCTTGTTCAAAATTACTCTGTGATAATTAAAGGTTTGCAAAGCAACTCTGCAAAAATGTGTATTAATACATGAGAAGGAGTGGAGCCATTCAGCAGGAGGTTGCCAGAAGCTGGCACAGCCAGCAGGGAGGGCTCTGAGTTTTCAGGGCACTGTGCAGCCTGTGGTTGCCTCTGCTGCTCAGGACTCCCCCTCCGTCCCTGTTTGTGCCCTATGCTGGTGGGAAGGCAAAGTCAGCAATCAAACACTGGAAGAATTACTTGAAAGTAAGTGGTGATGTTTAGCCTAAAACTAATGAGGGTTTCCAAAATCTTTTCCTACTGTTTTTTGCATTTCACATTTATAGGAGAAAAATTCTCTCTGCTCACTTTTGGTGTTTGTTAACAGTAATTTGCCATGGTATTGTTTTCATTTGCTGCATTTATCATATGACAACAGGACAATCTCCTCCCCACTCCAATTGGAATAAATATTTGTATACACTTTCAGATGGCAACATAACTGAGGCTTTAAATATAATTTTTAAAGCTGACTTTCTTAGTGACAGGAAGTTTGCATGCTGTAAAAATAAAATGAGAAAAAAATTGTAGCACAGCAATGTTTTATAAGGATTTGTATTCTTCACTGGGTATTATTTAGTCTCTGTGTGGTTAAACATGCAGTTTAATGTTGTGGGATTCATCCAATATGCTTTTAAAAATATTTTATGACAGAACAATGGGCATGGAAAAAAAATTTTTATGGATGTAACAACAACTGATTTTAAGAAGCAAAAGACCATAAAAATCAATAGAAAAATACCACTTTAGGTGGTATTGGACTAGGTCCCAGCAGGGGAAACATTATTGTATGGACAAATTCACTAGGGAATATAGCAGGAATTGAGGTCAAAATGTAATCACCCAGAACACAGCTCTTCAGGGTGGATTATTTTATTCTCCCTCTGAATTGAAATATCTCTTAATGGTAATAAATCTCCTTATCCTGTGCTGGGAGTGTATTTACCATAATGTGTCAGAAGAAAGATCCTTAACAGCCTACACATTCGTTCATATGATTCTCTAAAATGTTCTGTGTTTCCTCTCCAACGTGCTGGCATAACTTAATTTTCAGTTAGAGATAAAATGACCAACTGGAAAGAATGGTGGGTGGTAAGTGCTAAACCAAGGGTTTGAAATCTAACTAAAATTGAGCATTAAAAAAAAAAAGGAGAAAGAGAAAGAAACAGTAAAACAGGTAAAATAGCCTGATACTGTAGAAAATAAGTTCAAAGGACCATAGCTATGAACACCTGTGAAAACAGCAGCTCTCTCTGCCATCATAGTTTGTTTGAATTTCATTTGTTTAATCTTTATTTTCCTTTTTCTTTTTCTTTTTTAATTTTTTGTTTAGCAATGACCTATTTACAGGATTTTCCACTATTGCTGTTCTAGAAACTTTTGTTGGCCCTTATTCTAAGAATGGCAATTTAACAATCAGTCAAGAGGTTTTGTGCCAACCATCTTAATGTTGCATGTTTACAGTAGGTTAAGGTGGGGGTTTTTTAATAGTGGTGTAACAATACTACAAAACGAACATACTACATAAAGGTGACTATCATGTGTGTATTTGCCTTCTCGTAAATGAATGAAACATTAAGTGATGAATAAACAGAATTTTTGTTGGTACAAATGCACTTGTCCAAGAATGATGGCATTACTTTAACCACGGCAGTGTAAACGTACAAACTGGATGCACAGCAAAGCCCTCAATCTTTTCTATGGAAAATAAAGAGAATATACAATGATCTACTTTACTAGTTCTGAAAACCTCCCCATTCTGCCATTCTCCTGTGCTCTGATAATAGTTCTTTCTTGGGTTTAGTTAGAATTTTTCTCTGTTTTCTTCTGATTTCGCTGAGACTAGCACAGTTTGTTTTAGAATTACAGGTAACCTGATGCTGACCAGCAAAGTGAAATGGTGCACAAGACCACCATCATCTTCTGTCTGGGACAAACCTTGTGCTTCTATTCTCTCTTGCAACCAGTGCATGTTATTGCTACATTCCAAAGGAGTTCATTTCTTCATACAAAAAACCCCCTTCCGCACCAGAAGAAGTATAATCTGTGTTTTGGTGAAGTCATTGGAAATGCCTTACTTGGTAAACTACTTACTTACTAGCTAACAATGCTAAGGATAAGATTTGTTTAGTTTAATTTCATTTAATTTCCCAGGATTTTTATTGCATATATCAGTACACCAACCATGACAGCCTCTTTCATATGCAGCCGAAGGTCATATAAGTGTCAGAAATTTGTTAGCTGAAGTAATTAACACTGTCAAAATCTTTTCAGAAAAGCAAACTGAGAACTATTTAAGATGCTTTTAATGCTACCCATCTTGTACAAAGAATGACTAATACCAGAATGACAGGAAATTGTATCTTTGCTCTGAGAAGAATTTATTCACCATTTGATGAGTTAATTCAGCACCCATATTTTGTATGTTATTATACACATATTTTTCGAAGCAATAGAATTTCTACTTAAATGAAAGGGGGACACGTGTATTCATCTCAGGCTTAGTAAAAAAATACAATTGATTCAGTTGTGTAAATAAAGTCCATTGGGATTGAGAAACAGTATCCAGGAAATATCATTTACTGTCATTTACAACAGAAACAATAAAAACCAGCACACAAAGCTCTCGATCCAAGGAATCCAGGGACAAAATACAGCTATAACAATACAGTGTATCTTTCATTTTATGTTTTGAAAAATAATCAAACAAAAATAGTAGTCCTGTATAGCGAGGTTTCCCATTGCAAAAGAAATATGGTTTGCAATGGATACAAACACTGATGCAAGGAAGTTGAAGAATGCAATTTTGACCTTGGACCCCTCAGTCCAGGATGTTCATTTGAATAACGCAAAACCTGGAGTTTTATGTGTGACAGTCCATCATGTGCATGAGGAGCCGTCTCCCATCAGATCTTTAGGTCTCAGGTTATTTCTGATCAACCTAAATTCAGTCAACCAACTCATTACACTTATCCTAGCAAGGTTGACCTCAGATTATCTGTTTAAATTCCTGTCTGCCTAATGCCTCAGATTATTCTGCCTTTGAACATTCACACATCATAAACTCAGTTTACTACCTTTTTTCTTAAAAAAAATCTCTTTCACTTTAACAAAAATAAAAAAAAATCCACTAAAAATAGAAAGACATAATTGTAAGAAAATAAATATCTTCAGCTTTTCATTTTGGGTGGTTCGAAATCACATAGGTTGGAAAAAATCTCCAAGACCGAGTCTAGTCTTTGACTGATCACCACCTTGTCAACTAGACCATGGCATTAAGTGCCACATCCAGTCATTTCTTGAACCCTTCCAGAGATGGTGACTCCACCACCTGCCTGGGTTGTTGTTCCAATGCTTAACAACCCTTTCTGTGAAGAGATTCCTCCTAATGTCCAAACTGAACGTCCCCTGGTGCAAACTTCAGCACATTTCCTCTTGTCCCATTGTTGTTGCCTGGGAGAAGAGACCTAGCCACAATCTCCTTTCACATAGTTGTAGAGAGCAATAAGAGAGCAATAAGGTCTCCCCTGAGCCTCCCTTTCTCCAGGCTAAACAACCCCAGCTCTCTCAGCCTTGCTGTATTTAAAACTGGCAGAGGTTTTGCGCATGATTTCAACTAAGGGAAGTGGAATCCAACCACAAAAAAAATCAAAACATAATATTTTTAATTGATGGCAGCATCAATATGTTAGGATAGCTATGTTAGGATAGCTGATAAGCCTTTTCTGAGCAGATATGCTACTTTTCAAGGATTTTATGATTCCTATCGATCACACACATAGTTTAAAAAAAAATTCTGTCAGAGATCAGTGCCTCCTGTTATGAACACATTAATGAAACAAAAGATCTATGCAGTCACAATAATTCAATTTAAAAGTTAAATCTACCTAAAATAATTTGTGATGATTTTTTAATGGGTGCTATTAAGCTCTATAGATTTAATTAAACTTTCAGCTTCTTAGAAATCAGTGAATATGGTTACAGGCTAAATTTTGGAAAATAAAGAAAAATCTCTGATATTCCTTCCCAAACTGAAGGCACTAATTGAGAATATGACTCACCACTGCTTTATGTCAGTATAAATATCATGGATTTCTTTGGAACTACATTAGCATAAAACAGATGTAATATGTTGCAGTATAGCAGGCAGAAGTTTATGGCACAATTATGCTATTTCTACTAAAAAAAAATGATTGCAGCAGATATTCCTTGAACACTTTGGTTCCATAAATTCACACTTGACTGTGATACCTTTCTTGTAAAAGGTCTACTGTTTTGTTGGGTTTTGCCTAAGCAAATGAACTTCAGCAAAGCAACAAGATACTTAAGAAATAGCTGGACCTCATCTGCTTTTGGATCTCATCTCATCTGTTCCCAATTCCTTGGACCAGTGCCTGTGTGGTGAGAATGTGGCTGCCTCCTTCACCTCCACGTTGACACATGGCTCTACCCAGCTTGTCTACAGTCTGGGCACAGAGTGGCTGGAGAGCAGGCAGGCAGAAAGGGACCTGGGAGTTTGGATTGACAAGAAGCTGAACATGAGCCAGCAGTGTGCCCAGGTGGCCAAGAAGGCCAAGGGCATCCTGGCCTGTATCAGGAACAGTGTGGCCAGCAGGTCCAAGGAAGTGCTTCTTCCCCTGTACTCAGTGCTGGTGGGGCCACACCTGGAGTACTGTGTCCAGCTCTGGGCCCCTCAGTTCAGGAAGGATATTGAGGTCCTGGAGCAGGTCCAGAGAAGGGCAACTAGGCTGGTGAAGGGACTCAAGCACAAGTCCTATGAGGAGAGGCTGAGGGAGCTGGGGCTGTTCAGCCTGGAGAAGAGGAGGCTCAGGGGAGACCTCATCACTCTCTACAACTCCCTGAAAGGAGGTTGTAGCCAGGTGGGGGTTGGTCTCTTTTCCCAGGCAACTATCAGCAAGACAAGAGGGCATGGTCTCAAGTTGTGCCAGGGGAGGTTTAGGTTAGATATTAGAAAGAATTTCTTTACAGAGAGGGTAATCAGGCGTTGGAATGGGCTGCCCAGGGAAGTAGTGGATTCTCCATCCCTGGAGATTTTTAAAAAGAGACTGGATGTGGCACTTAGTAACCGCAGCGGTAGTGGATCAAAAGTTGGACTTGATGATCTCGGAGGTCCCTTCCAACCCAGCTGATTCTATGATTCTATGATTCCGTGATTGTCTCAGCTGTGGGGCAGGGCAGAGCCTGACCTCTGAGGAGACACCCAGCCCAGTATCACCAGCAGCTTCCATTTCTGTGCCAAATAGCACCTCCGTACCCACTTCTTTTTTAAACAGAAAAAACCAATTTGCATAACTCATTAAACTAGACATCGCCAGAGTAAAACAAAGCAAGCAGTTATCTGCTTTTCTGCTTTTCTGTATCATCACTACTAACTCGAGGATATTTGGGGTTGGTATTTGGTGTTTGGGGCGGTTTCCTTTGATTTTGATTTGCTCTGGGTTTTTTTTTGTGTTTGGGGGAGAGGGAGATTTCAGATAACATCGTTTGCTTGAGTTATTCTTGTAGGAGAGATGTTCATTACCAGAAAATTATTAACTGTCACTTTGCTGTTTACCAAGCTTTTTCCCAATAAGGGGCCACAAAAAGGGCTTAAGAAAAAGAAGATACATGAGATAGATAACTTTCTTTGCTAGAAAGGTAGCCTGTGTTGGGTTCTGGATGCATCAACAAAAAAAGGTTAAAGATGCCATATAGGAAAGATGCATAGTTTGCTCTCTTTAACTTTCTCCCTGGATTTTGAAAGCCATTTAAAAACTCATTCTTTGTCACATAAAAGTTAGAGGTCTTTCTTGGAGAGAAGTCTGACTTGACAACATCCTATAATTAAAGATAGCATCAAACTTACAGTTGCCTCTCCAGGACATTTTCAAATCCAGGTTGTATTTGAGGGCATTGTTTAGCTCTGTAAGCCTCTGCCAGCAAAAGAAAAAAATCCAGCAACATTCATTTCCTTAAACAGACTTTTAACAGGTTTTTTTTAGTAGCATGATGGACATAAAAAATAGAGTAGAACCAAGAAAAGGATAATTCAGGAAAAATAATAAGGTGTATGAGAATGGCTGTGCTCTGAA